TGAGGATACTATGATCAACTGTGTTGAAAGCGTTTGAATAGTCAAGAAGCGCCACCACTGTTAATTTCTGCTCTTCTAAGGCTTCCTTATATACTTTTATTAATACACTTCATGAGTTGTTGCTATTTTTTTCTTCTTCATGTATCATAATAAATTCTTTTGTTATCCTTTTTTCGTTTTTCAACATTAATGTTATTTACAACTTTAATATTTTAATTTTACTTTTAATGTTAAGTAAGCCTTAAAGGCTTAAGGCATAAGATGCGTACTAAACATTAGATTAATCAATTATTTGTGTAAACATTTTTTGTACAATATCATGTTAACTTCCTAATAAAGAAATGTAATAGAGTGCCTCTACCATAGTTACCACGCTTGGTGAGCGGGTTAGCAACCGCAGTTTTTTGTTGTATAATTGCTGTTATCAAGAAGTTGCTGTTGCCCATCTCCTGCCTGTTTATCTCTGCCGCATTTTACGACACCCAAGGGAGGATATTGGGTAGTGAATATTCTTAACCACCACTACACGGGATTAAGCGATAAGAGATGATAATACCGCCTTCTTTCACAAGCTATACAGAATTACAGAATGGGTCCCACATATATGCAATAAATGAAACCATATACTTGTTATCGCCTTTGCTGACGATATACAAAAAATTAACGTAATCGGTCCAGTAATTAGGTCAAAAAGTAGAGTTTTAATTTTAAGCATATTTGAACACTCTATAGAATTGGGTCACTAAGTTAATGATTCAATGAACTTGAATCCTTGAACATTAAAAAGCGACGTTGCCACGCAGTGCAAACTATTGGTATTGTGACATATTGTTGTCTAAACAGAGTGTTCACTTTTACTGAATTTATTTTAATATTTATTTTGTTTGAAAATTTCACTTTTTTATTTTACGGGTTTTAATTTAATATTTAATTTTTCTACACTTCTACGGACTAGTATTACTTGTGGTTTCATTTATTGCATATATGTGGGACCCCATTCTGTATAAGTCATAATGAACTTTCTATAACTTCCTATACACGTCGTCGCTTACGACTCCCACGATACGAAATGTACCGTACCGTACCGCACAACATAATTATTATTTTATAATAATTATTTTCTATTTCTCATCAACATTAACAAGTCGTCCATTGTCAATGTTTAGTAGTGGGCGGGATGCATACGAATGAGAGCATAATTCCGTCGCTAAGCTTTGAAAATCAAATGCATATTTTACTGAAAATTACTTCATACCGATTTAATTTTGTGAATACAGAACATCAATATACCAAAATTTCTAATGTTTTTTTTTCTATAAACATATCCATGAATTAAAATACCTAACTGTAACACTTTTCAAATAAAAAGCTTCCTTTTTAAAATAACAGACAATCACAGAAACAAAAAAATATTATTGCTTTACAGTATTAATTACATTAATTAGTCCGTTGGTAATTATATTAACATGTTTGCGTAATAAACACGTTTTAAAGTAAGTAAACAACTGGTTCCTAAAACGATTTAAATGAATGACGTAATGCTAAAATTGCGATAGTCTGACGGATCGCGCAGGGTGGCATAAATACAATTTGACGGATGTCCCAAGATGACGGATTGTTTCTTCCGGACCCTTCTTGATTAATGTTATATGGGGTATATGAGTATATTAAAAATGTACATTTGTTGGGTATTTCAACAAAAGTCTGCTAGGTTTGCTCAAGTAATAGATAATAAGTTTCAACATCTTTGTTCTACTCGTGACCGAGTACCCCAACCCCACGTTAGACTAGTACCACTTACTAGACTTCGACTTATAGTCTTATGAACACGATCTAAAAATAATTCTACATTTTGAGTATCATCAATCATAATCATAATCTTTATTGTAATCAAATGGTAACATAAGATGTGATGTTTTAAATAAAGTCCGCATTGGAACCCAGTTTGGGCCAGTTTTTTTAAATAAGGTATACAAAATTTGATAAATTATTTGAATATTCTATAAATTCAATTCAATTAATAACCAAACATCAAATAAATAAAGAATAATAAGTAACAATAATAGTAATAGTTGAAAAACTTCTTTTAAATCGCACGGTTGTAGACCGCTAGTCAACCAGATGGTATGGATGGTGTCGCGAGTTTTGTCGCGATACCTTATATTAGTTCGAATGATACCTCAGAGCGTCCATAGTTGCTAGTAAATCTACCCCTGCTCTCTTCTTTGCTTCAACTTCCATACGTACCTTATCATCCCACCATAACGTATTTGCTCTCTTACTAACACCACATACTTCGGTAGCTGCATCCACCAAATCTTTCTTTACATTATTCCACACATAATCAGTAAAGAACATTAAATGGCCGATGCTGTCCACACAAATTAAATAACATTTGTATCAAAAGATTAATTTTAATTATAAAAGTATATTTCGATTAAATTTAACTTAAATTTGATAAAGTTAGTTAAGTAAGAGTTTTTAATGTCATTCGGAAGGTTATTAAAAAAAATTGTACCAGTTTAAAAGTGATAAAGCCACGCGGCAGCCTTTGCTGTTGCACGCATGGGCCGGCTGAAACCGGGGTGGAACCACGACCTCACAGAAGACCAGCGTGAAGTAGAGGCTTTGCTTCTGCGTTTCGTCTGGTGAGTGCAGGTGGTCGGGGCCCTAATCCCCCCACCATCAACATGGCAGCGGAAAAATGTAAGACTACCCTAGGAGGGTACCAGCACCCCCTGGAGAATACCTTCAGGGGTGGGCAAAATTCCGCTCGAGACTAAACCTGGTCGAGGCAAACGAAGCAATAAGTCAAAGGCGACCCCTGCCACGCTATCCGTGAATTTCTACAACATCAGGGGACTTCATTCAAACCTTAATGCCGTCCACAACCATCTGGAAATGGCGAAGCCAGCCTTGCTCTTTCTAACCGAGACACAGGTATCCTCTTTCTTCGTATCTCTCCTACCCGGGGTACAAATTAGAACACTCCTTTGTGCCCCGGGCTGGAGTTTGCGTGTACGTCAGGGAGGACATCTGTTTTCGACGCCTCGGCAGCCTTGAAGGTAAGGTCCATCTTATGTCTGCGCGTAGACAGCGACGACCATCCCCGCGTCTGCGGGTGCCTCTATGGGTCCCATAGCGGTAATGCCAAAACAGACCGACTCATAGATCACGTTCGGATGGCTGCAGACTCCGTGCTACAACAGATCCCATCCGCAGAGATCGTGATGCTTGTGATTTTAACGCTCACATGTCCCTCCTATTATGCTGAAGACGTGTGCTACGGAGTTGGCACCGGTTTTAACGCGTCTTTTCCGATACTCCTACTCCCTCGGTGTAGTCCCGAAATCATGGAAGACAGACCTCGTGCACCCGATCCGTAAAAAAGGTAATCGCTCTGATCCGTCAAACTAGGACTATCGCCATCACCTCTTTGTTCTCTAAAATAATGGAATCCATCTGTTATTAACAGCCAGCTCATGCGGTACCTTGAAGAGCACCAGCTGATTAGTGAGCGCCATTACGTTTTGTGTCGCGGTCGCTCGGCTGGTGATCTTCTGGGTTACCTAACTCATAAATGTAGTAGAGTCCAGGGGGGAGGCGTTGGCCGTTACTTTGGACATAGCGAAGGCCTTCGATCGGGTTTGGTACAAAGCGCTTCTGACGAAGCTTCCTTCCTATGGGATTACCGAGAAATAGTGCAATCGGATCACCAGTTTTCTTACTGTTCAGAGCATCAAGATCATAGTGGACGGTGCACGCTCCGATTACAAGCCCATTAACGCTGGGGTTCCATAAGGCTGCGTGCTATCACCAACGCTGTTTCTTCTGCATATCAAGGACATGTTGCAAACCGTTAACATTCATTGCTATGCAGACGGCGGCACTGGTGACGCTTTTCCGACCGTCCTAATATTTCTCGGGAAAACGTCGCTAAGTACCGGGACAAACTTGTGTCTGAAGTCGAAACACTGTTGAACAAAGTCTCTGACTGGGGGCGACTAAAATCTAGTCCAGTTTAATCCCCAGAAGACACATGTTTGCGTATTTACCACTAAAAAAACCCCATCGTCGTATTTCCTCACTTTCAAGGCACTCGCCTTGTTGCCTCGGCCAGTATCGGAACCCTCGGCGTTGACATATCGAGTGACGTGCAGTTTCGTGGTCACTTCGAAGAGAAGGCCAAATTGAAAAAAATTTAAGCCTTTTGAAATGGGGCCTACAACTTTCTGGAATTCATATAATTTCCAAGGTTCTTATTTTTTTTTTTTTTGGATTATGAATAATTGTTGTACATCAGTACTATTTCCCAACAACATGACACCGAAGATGTGTATACGTAATATGCCGACAGGGCGGTGGGGACATTTGTGGTTTTATTTATTTCTCGCAATAATAAATGAATATAAAAGATATTTGTTTACGAGGAGTATTTAGGTCATATAAGTAATCCTTTATCAGAACAATGGAACCTTGTTTTATTTAGTTTTTGTTATTTTTACATTGTTAAGTTTTAGAAAATACCGCAAGGCATTAGTTTCGTCTGTTCTATCTATTGTTTCAAAATTTGTTTAAACTTCAACATAAAATGTTTCTATTCATAACTAGCGAAAGCCCGCATCTCCATTTGCATTTTTTTACAATGCAAAAATAAAATCCATTTATAACTCTTACATGGCACTATCCATCGCGATCACACAACATTTATGTATTGTTAATATGAGTAATTTTGGTCCAAAAATATAGAATTAGTTTATAAATTCGACGTGGACGAAGGAATTTGACGCGGACAAATTAACACCATCGGTCAAGTGTTTTAGAAATTATACTTCTACTAACAGTGGCCACAAACGATTATAAAATGATTACATAAAAAGATGATTAAATTGTAATTTAAATTTAACGCACACAAAATCGTTTATCATAAAACTATGATTATAGTGGTTGAAATATAAATATCTAATATCAAAACTAAAACAACTCTCTCTTTACGGCAGGTGAAACTGGAACAGAATGTGGGGAAGCCTTCACGCGTCATCCACATACGGAACATACCAAACGAGACGACTGAAGCGGAGATCATTCAGCTCGGCCTACCATTCGGTCGAGTCACCAACGTACTTGTGCTGAAGGGAAAAAATCAGGTAATATTGTAGGACAGTAAGCACGCTAAAAATTTGTAATTGTATATAAAGATTTTTTTTTTATGTTCAGACGAATGAGACATCAGCCAATTAGAATCTAAAAACCCTGGAGCGTCATGTTCAGGATTTTTAACGTATAATTTTTTAACGTATAATTTTTAATAAATTTCGAATAATTTTTGTATTCCTGACGTATCAAATGCTTTGATATGTGCGTGCAGTCCGTAATTTTTTAACGTATAATTTTTAATAAATTTCGAATAATTTTTGTATACTCGGCGTATTAAATGCTTTGATATGTGCGTGCAGTCCATAATTTTTTAACGTATTATTTTTAATAAATTTCGAATAATTTTTGTATTCCTGACGTATCAAATGCTTTGATATGTGCGTGCAGTCCATAATTTTTTAACGTATTATTTTTAATAAATTTCGAATAATTTTTGTATTCCTTACGTATCAAATGCTTTGATATGTGCGTGCAGTCCATAATTTTTTAACGTATTATTTTTAATAAATTTCGAATAATTTTTGTATTCCTGACGTATCAAATGCTTTGATATGTGCGTGCAGTCCATAATTTTTTAACGTATTATTTTTAATAAATTTCGAATAATTTTTGTATTCCTGACTTATCAAATGCTTTGATATGTGCGTGCAGTCCATAATTTTTTAACGTATTATTTTTAATAAATTTCGAATAATTTTTGTATTCCTGACGTATTAAATGCTTTGATACTTGCGAGCAGACCATGGTGCAATCCAGCAGTGACGATGGGTACTGCTTTTATATATTCTAATTTTGAGCTCCAATGTAAGTACGGAATTTTGCGCATACCCGAAATACTTGCTTGATGGAGACGAAGATTTCTGAACGATATTTACCTTATCTGTTTTTAAATTAGTTTTAAGAACGTTCATAACATAGTCGCAAATGAATGAATGAATATACTTTGTTGTACACCACAAAAAAATATACAGATAACAAAAAATATTGCAGATTATGTGTACAATTTGGTGGCCTTATCGCTACATAGCTATCTCTTCCTGGCAACCAAAGGCATAAAGGAATACAAGTATTAAAACTCGGTAGGTGATGCAATATAAATAAACATAGTATAATATCAATACATGCGATATTTAGACAATACATGCAATAAGATAACTTATAAATTACTAATACATAATAAAAAATAAAGTAAAACATCTAATATGCACATATACATACATATATGTATATATAAATATATCCTCCCTCTTTTGTATCCAGCCCCTCTTTTTTAAGAATTTTATGCTTTCACACTAAAGCTAATTTGTAATTTGCAGAGAAACAGGTGTATGTGAATAATTTAATTATGCATACATTGTTAAACTTGTTTTTAAAGCTGTCTGCCATTTTTGTTAGTTACACTATCATCCAAGCATTTTTTCATCAATTCTATTAACCTGGATTTAAAATTTGAAATTATGGAATTAAAACATGTGATATTTTATTGCTATAATATAACTAATTTACTTCATTATCGTCATCATTATTATAGTCCAGCATTAACGATCCTTACGATATTGACTTCCACTAATTATTCTCTTAATAATATGTGTTTTTACCTCAGCGGAGGAAAATTAATTGAGTTCTACATTATTATAAAAATGTAGACTTGAAGTTTAATATTAATTTTCCAGCGTACAAATTGATGAAAATATTGATGTGGATCGTTGACTCTGCAATAATATTCTTCAGATTACTAGAAAGCGAAACTCATTTTATTTTAAATTTTAGTAAAATATTTATATTTTAAAACAGAAAATAATAAAAGCCATGCTCTCAAGCACTTAAGACCAGGTGTGTCGGTTAAAATCTTCATTTGATGGAAATATATCGTTGCAACTCTAGACCAACAGAGAGAAATTATATTACTTATGGAATGTTCATAAATATTTAACGCACAAATTGGCGCTATACTCTTCTTTATAAGCTCGTAGCAGTATTGGACCTCTCCTTTTATAGGAAAGAGTTGCCTTAATTGCTCACTGCTCAGCATAGCATGTGGTTGGGCGACATTGTAAACCGCTATCTAAAGTCTAAAAGGACCATCCGACCTTACGTTTTCCGTATTTCGTCACTACTAAAAGAGTCATACCTCTACTATACCTCTTACTAAGCCCACGTGACGAAATAAGATGGGGATTATCATTCGCTACCACCACACGGCAACAAATTTGCATATAAATGCGTAAAAATTCTGGTAAGTAAAATAGGTTAATATTATGTCGTTACTCATTGTTATTTTACTGAGCAAATGGTAACACGTAATACTGTCTTTTGAGTCTTCTTTATGAGCCTGTAAATGGTCAGCTGCCGAACGTAGAGGCCTCTCCTGTGGTAGAGAGGTTTTGCCGTGAAAACTATGTTTAGTTGTATGGATAACGGACACACAGACCTTTTTCGAAATCTATTAGCCCGTCCAGGCATTTTTCTTATTCGACCCTTACGACTCCCAAGCGATGAGATGAGGTATCTTATCGTTCGCCACCACTATGCGGCAATTTTTATGGTGGCAAGACTCTAGATTATATATAGGGATTATATTCTGGTACCCCATATCAGACTGACGTTTCACGTCACGTCCCTATATATTATTTTCAAACATCAGCTGTATAGTGTTTTTTGAAAACAAAGTTATACAAAAAACTCCCGTAGAAGAACTTATAACTATCATTTAGCATAAAAGCACCGAGAAGCCTGCAGTCTGTGAACATGTTCAGGATCGATCCAATCATTATTACATCAGAGATAGTACAGATCCGCGCAATAGTACACCGATTCCTACCACGAATGATTCGTATGGCGATTGAAATTAATAATTTACTAATATTAGTAGAGAAGACGACTAGGTGCTTCCATCTGCTTGAAACACTCCAATTAATATAAACAAATCTTAACCCAATCCTACGTTGGTTGTACCAAAAATTACTTAAAATAAAGATATGTCATTAAATACCTGTCTTACTCGTGACCGCGATACACTGCAAAATTGAATCAAGAATATAGAAACAAAAAAAAGATAAATGCGATGTTTCAAATTTGCCATAGTTATAAAATGCGGTTTACCCAATCATAGAAGTGTTAAAAATTCAAACTTTCAACTTAGGGCCCCAAACTAGGAATAAAAGAGTTTTATTATTTTATATCATCATGTGGAATACCTTTGAATCATTATTTTTATAAAATAACTTCATTAGTAAAATTACACTGTGTTTATTTTCCTTCATATTTTTCAAATAAATGCTTCAGAAACACCCTCAAAAGAAACGTCCCTATCGTATTCCTAAAAGTAAGACAACACCTTATATTTATTTTAACAGTCGAGAACTACAAACAAACATTAACAATACCCTCATTTGATATGAAGTCGAACACTTAACAGAACTCGAGTCACAATAGGCGGGTGCTCGCCCTGGCCGGAAGCACAACAAGTGGGCGACGCGGTCGCGTCCGCAAATAGGCCGCTAACCATTGTGCCACTGGCCCCTGCCTACTTGTTTTCCATTTTATATTAACTATAGCGGCGCTAACACCCAAATAGGTCACGCTTATAAAATACCGGTTACACTGAATTATGGATAAATTTCACAAAAACAAAATGTGAATGTGCACGATAAGCCCATGTGATGTTACTAGAATACGTTCACTATTTAATCTTTGCATAAAAATTATCGTCCGTTGATATTATTAAGGATATTAAGGGTGGTGTTTATATTACTTTAAAAAAACGAAAGAAATTAAATTTTATTTTCGTTCTTTTTTTATTTACCACAGAAAAAAATGGCCTGTATAGGCGTCTTACGTAATAAAATTCACGTATATAGACAAACGTTGTCTATATACAAACTCAAACCTGGTACGATTTTTGTATGCTATGCAATTCCTTTTCCGAGTGGAAGTCAAACTGGCTGGCATCATTGGAACTATATATACAATAATAAATCGGCTCCGTAGCGTAGTGGCTTAGCAATGAATTACAGCGCTGCCGGCCGCGGGATCGAAACCCGCACGAAACGAGTATTCGTATTGTTTAAAGTATTTTTCCTGGTATGAATAAACATCCAAATAGTTTACATACATATTGCATAAGGACGTTGTCCTTTTATGTATGTAAACTGCCGCCACGATACAGGATAAAATACTTGTGCGGGGTTAAGTTTTTATAAAAAGAACAATTAAAGGATGATTTGACAGCGACATTAGCTGGCGCCATTATTGGCTATCGATACTTACATAATAATATAATTTGTTTGATATAATTTGTGGCATTCTCCTTTTTCCAATTGCTGGGATTAAGCTATTCGTAGAAACGACACAGAAATAATTTTAGTCGGCAGACCATATTATTTGTCGATGTAGAAATTTTGTATTCTTATCTGTTTCATCTTTCACGAGGTTGTCGTCATATTTAATGGTAAAAATAATATCCTTGACATCACAATCTTAGAAATATTCGTATTAATAATCCAGTCTGTGAAGATAGCCTAGTGCCAGTAGAGCAAATACTTATAATAAAACAAGAAAGCTCCAAAATTCCTCTATTTAGCGTTTAGAATTTTGGTTATGATGTTATATAAATAAATGAAAACCAATTTGCAAAACCCGATCAGATTGAATAAACCTATCCTAAAGCGAATAACAATTTATCTTCTGTACCATCAGCATAAAAAACATAAATTTTGCAGATATTAAATAAAATTCTAATGTCAAACGAAAAAACATAAATATTCGTCGTTAAGAAATTAACCCAAACATGAGATTTCATCGAAAATTTCATTTGGCGGAAATCAAGGGTGCGACGACGTCGAAAATAATTTTCAATTTGGGTCGAAGAGGCTTCTGCGGTACTTTATAGATGGGTTCGCAACATCAACAGAAACTCGATAAGCGAACAGTTGTTTGATATTTTTAGTATTCAAACGTATGCGATTCTTGACGGAATTAATCCTTTACATATAAAAAAAACTTAATAACAATTTAAATAAATTTAAATATGCATAACATTAGGAACCTTACAAAACATACGTATAATAAATTGACTTTTTTCTTGATTGACAAGATTGTCACCAATCCATCAAGCCAACCGTCTGCGTCTACATGAGTGCGGTGAACTTTTGAAGGCGAGGTATCCGTCCAGTTTTACTGCGAGTTTTACGTCTGTACAGCCGCGGTAGGAATACGTGCATTGCAGAATTTACGAGTTTTCGCTGACAAATTAAAAATGAGTTAGTTTACAGCCGCGAAATTAAATAATAAAAAAAGAAATCTTATTACGAGAAGCAGTCGAGACAGATGCTGCGACAATGTTATCCCGTCTAATAAATAGCCAGTATGACATCCACACCCGTATATAACTCGCCGTGGAGGAAAACAATCTCTCTTCCAGCAAGAGAAACAAGTCGAATCCCTTTTTAAGAACGGTCACAGCTCCTTTCTTGCTTTTTTGTTATGAAATTTTCCGAGTCTTTTCATTCGCGCGCTAAAGATGCAATCCGCTGAAAGACGGAAAAGCATTTCCCTATCTCAGCAGAATTAATATTGCTGTCATATATACGCTTAAATGTTTTGTGCGAAATAAGAAATTTTAATATCGTTTTTGACTGTATACTTAAAGTATAAAGCAATCACATTGGTTGCCGTTTTGGCGCGATTTGTTAAATTAATTACTATATGATAAGCATTCAAGTACTATAGGTTCTTTGATGGGCCTTGAGAGGATTATGAAAGTATTTGATGGTAACTGCAGCTCTGAGAGTTCAGTAACAAAAGCGCCAATTGTCGAGAGATGGGCAAACACTGATGTGAGTGGGTGCGGACAATCGCTCCACTCTCAGTGATTAAAACGAAAGAGGCGTTGCACTATATTACGATCGACGCTCGCGCGACAGCAACGCTTCCATTAATTTGTGCGCGGCCTCGGTTGGGATAACATTTCGGTTGATGCACGATCTGATGCTTTATGTTAACTTATATATTTTTTAGTGTTCTTTTCCGTTTTTTATGATATAAATATTTTAAATATGCGCTAATTAACTTCCGTAACTTGAGAAATTTGGATATTCTCATCAGATTAGGCAAGGTGGGTTGGTGATTCTGTTATCTCAGTCACAAATTCAACTCGCTCGCTCCGGTAAAATTGTTCCTCTTCTGTAGTCTGTGGGATAAAATTAGACATTTGTGAATAGATATATTGCGGCTTATGACGGTCGCTAGAGCTACGTTCGTTAGTTGATAAATGCTTCACTTGTAGACAAGGTTCGAATTTTTATAAAGAAATTGTTATATCCGCGACATTTCTATTAAAGAGCTTAATTTACATTCGGAAAAGACAAAGATAAACACGATCTTACAAAAAAGTAACAAACAACGTATCAAACCTACTTAAATTTATTTACAATCGTATCTTATTTGCAAAATGATCGTGGTTTGCGGCAAAACAGTCCAGTCCATTTACATTACCGTGACCCACTCGCATTTCCCCACTAGGTATTTGTTTTTTAATTAGCAACAGACAAATTCTATTTAATTTGCGGCATGCTACACCGGCTCGGCGGCGGTGTATATGTACTCGTACGTTGGTCAGCCATGTTCAAATGCCAAAAGCAGAAGCTTGCGGTCGGGAATATAACGCACGTGAAATAGTACACAGCAACAGTAAATGTTCTCTAAAATGATCGGTAAAATCAAAGAGCATTTAGAAATTGGTGCGGGCCACGAGGTAGGTGATCCCCACCTCGAGCTGCGTTGTTGAGGTGCGGTGATTATGTATGATTGCGTCGGCCGGAGCAGATTAATTTGGCTCCATTATGGCCGCAAACGCAATACAATGTTGCATACATGCTTTGCGAACATTGCGTAGTCGTTACTGACGTAAGCGGGATTATTGTCTGGGCCACGAAAATTAATCTATTATGATTTTAAACCGTTTTGTATGCGTTTTCTATTAAAATGTGTACATTTTCTTTGCTTTTAAAATAAATTAAATATTTAGTTTGTATTTCAAAATTGTTCTTATAATACTAATAGAAGTAATTAATGATAGCTACGAAATATTTCAAATAAAAAATTGTAAAGAAAAATACATCATTTCCCTTTAATCTATTAGATACACCTTACCTTTCGTTATTCATACTTTTTTCTGGCTTTTCTCAGCAATACTTTTCTAGGTACAAAATGAAATTAAGATATTATGTGTCAAGTAGTTTTCAAGTGACACCTCGCATGATGACCTTCACTTTTTAGTTCCTTTTACACTGTTGTATTGTTTATTAATCGGTGTACAGTCAATTTACTAGGATCACGTCAGTCTTGAGTATAAATAAAATTAGCGGGTGCTTCAAACTCAAAGCTTGAACCTCTCTACTCGTCATCTTTTATTTCTCTATATTTTATTCCGACTCTCGTGTTCTCGATTAAATTGGACGATAGCTGTCTTATTATATGCGGTGCGTACTCAATCTTATCCCTATTTTATACCTGTCTTTGTTTCCCAGAATTATTGTGCTTTATTTTATTAAAATATTGCTCTTTTCTATTACCGATACACATATTATTTACCCAAGTTTAGAATTCCTTAACCTACTATAAAATCTCTTATGAACATTTATTCGTATTATCAAAATATTCTCTGGAATTTGTCCCGAAAATATAAAATTACAACCCATTATGATGTATATACCATATTTCTCTGCAAAATATTTAGACTTTGTCAATCGTGTTTAATTAGGATTATGCCATAAGTTGTACGGAATGTACTAGGTTTGACTAAATTAAAATATTCTCTAAAATTTTCAGAAAAATTCTCATATAATTTTTATTTGGCTCTTATGATACACTCGACTACGAAAAGGCCTAAAGAAGTGTTGGACCACGTGCTGATGATGAACACCAATAAAATTGTTAAAAGTAAAATTAATTGAAAAGTCCCTCAGCTTTTCATTTTATAAGCAGTTATGAAGCAGCGACGATTCCGCCTGTGTGTCTAATGCATGTCGTGAGAATGTGCTTATCTTTAAAATATTTTTACATTTCTCAGAGTATGGTGTAGTAACGGTCATGTAGCAAATCAATTCAAATTTTAGTGACGCCAACGTGATTCTACATATAATACTATTGCTGTGTATTAGATTTTATATTCAAAAATTATACATATATTGGTTACTTTTGTGCAGGCATTCCTAGAGATGGCGGAAGAAATATCAGCGGTGGCGATGGTTGCGTACTTCGGCGGCTGCGTGGCGCAACTTCGCGGGCGCGCCGTCTACGTGCAGTTTTCAAACCATAAAGAGCTCAAAACTGATCAGACTCATAGCAACGCTGTAAGTATCATAGGAAGTTGATGGGCTTTGTCCTTATATAAAGCTTCCAATTGTCCGTCCTTTTGAGTTCCACTAAAGGGAATAAGTTTTAGTTTTAAATATCATTATTGGTGTAAAAGTACATAAAGTACGGAAGGAGCTTTTGATAGAAAGATACATTAAACCTACTTGCACTGTTACCGGTGCAACTTGTACAACACTGCAAGTTGTACGGGTACAACTTGCACTGTTGTACCCGTAACTATTAGGTTAGGCGCTTACGTACTTCATGACTTTTCAGGAAAACTCTCAATCTCATTTATAAAACGTTAAATGCTAAGAGCTTATACAACAATAATCTCCAAAAATAAGTATAAAATCACGTATTCCTCAAAACCTAAAAACAGGAGTGTCAAAGAGAACTGGAACCAGAGTGACCGACTGACATAGCACATTCATACATGTATTCATTCATTACAGCCTCCGAAAAGTCCACTGTTGAATATAAGCCTACAAATTGCCTTGATTGCCACACTTGGTACGTGGGCTGGCAACCGTATGTTTTATTTTTAGTTGATATCAGGAAGACGCTGCTACCACACCATCTGGTTTGTTATCCTCTGTCTTACGAGAACCACAAGATGATATGAGTTAGTGGATATGTAAGATATCACATCCGAAAAAAAAAAAACGCGGCAATATCCACCACTACGCGGTAAATTATATACTATGTCTAATTGTGAATAGTATGTCTATTATCATAGCACATTATTAAAAAACTAAATCATATTATTTTAAATTGAATAACTTAAAAAAAGTAAAAATCATATATGTATTAAGTTAAAATAATAAGAATACCCTATGTTATATGAATGTAATATACTAATATATTTTAATACTTTATTGTGTAAATTTCAAGTTCATTATTGAATAGTGAAATTAAAAATTAAATTTTATCACTATTATTTTGTGAATATTTCGTTGTTGATCGAACACGCGGTAACAGCATAAATGTATTTTCAACGCATACACTTCTACTAGCAGCTTATGTAAAAATGAATGTACATTCAATTTTAACGAGGTTACGTATGAATACAAATCTCGCGTATTCACCGGTTTTTGCTGTAAAAGGCCTAAATGTACAGTGTATTATTTCTTTTATTCACCGAAAAGTTCGATTTGGATCGTCGAAAGCGTATATTTTTTACAAAAATGTAACGATTGTTCAATAAGGAACATTAACATATACATTGTATACGCGAAAATTGTTAAACAATATGCAAAGGGACATTAAAGCCATCGCCGGTTTTACAAGAAAAAAAAACTACCCATGATTTATTTATGTAGGTTCATATTTATTTATCGCCGCAAATATCATGGCGATAAATACTAAGCTGTCATTTTAATAAACCACAAATCTAGTTATGTATTTGAAATGGAAGAACGAGCTACTTATCTCACAATCTGTACAAGTATTTTTTTAATATTTTTACTTTTTAATAGTAACTCTGGCCGGTATTTTAATCAAAATTACTAACAATAAACAATAAACCAAAATTAATAAAATTATTTTATCAAAAAACAGTCTAATGTGTCAGATATATTTAATATTTTTTCTTCAAGTATAGCAGATTTTAAATATGGGTTGAGGAAATCCAACAGAGTGTGTGTTATAAAGTGGTTTGGGCGAAAATTAGGTTTAAGAATGACTTTGAAACATCTTTTTTCAAGCATTGCAACTTTCCCAAGGTGGAATGATATGTGTTATAGCACCATTATTAACAACACTTCATCATCATCATTGTCGTTACAGTCCTTCACAAGTCCACTGCTGACTGCATAGGCCTCCCCCAAGGAATGCCACAAAGCACGGTCCTGAGCCACCTGCATCCATCGATTTCCTGCGTGTCTTACCAGGTCGTCACTCCATCCAGTGGGGGGTCGCCCTACACTTCGCCTACTGGTACGAGGCTGCCACTCGAAAACCTTTTTCCCCTACGGTTGTCGGTTCTTCGAGCTATATGGCCAGCCCATTGACACTCCAGCTTACTAATCAATTGGACTAGGTCGGTCACTCTGGTTCTACTGCGGATATCCTCATTTCTAAATTTATCACGCAGAGAAACCTCGAGCACAGCCCTGTCTATAGCTCACTGAGCGTCTTTAAGCGTCCTCATACGGCCAGCAGTGATGGACCACGTCTCAGTTCCATATGTCATCACTGACAACACGCACTGATTGTACAGTCTCGTTTTCAAGTTCTGAGGTATAACTGACGAGAAAATGTGTCGTAATTTCGCGAACGCTGCCCAACCGACTTTAATCCGTCGATAAACCTCTCGGCCGAAGTTGGACTTACCTGGTCGGACTATTCATCCTAGTTGAACATACGCGTCAACAACTTCGAGCTTAATGCTACTACCGGCATATGTGTGACGTGGACGTTACACATGATTTTTGTTTTGTCCATGTTCGTCTTACGACCTATCTGTTGAGGTAAATGAGCATAGAGTTTAGGTCCTACAGCGATTCTGCCATAGGGACTATATCGTCGGCTAATCAAGGGTGAGTGATGTACTCGCCATTGATATTAATACCGTATCCTTTCTAGTCCAGTAGCTTAAAAACGTCTTCCAATGCAGCGGTGAAGAGTTTCGGGGATATAACGTCACCGTGTCCTACACCACTCTGCAGTTGGATATGTTTCATACTCTGGTTCTGTATTCGGATAGTCATCGTAGCACTATTGTATAAACACTTCAGCACTTCGATATACCGACAGTCAACTTGGCATCGCGGAAGGGACTGCAGCACTACCCAAATTTCGACGGGATCGAAGGCTTTCTCATAGTCCACATACACCATGCAAAGTAGCAGATTGTGCTCTTCCTTATCTATGTATATAGTATTGAAGCCTTTTCGGAAGCCGGTTTGTACGGGAGGCTGGAAGTCGTCTAGTCTGCGTGCGAGACGATTAGTAATGACTCTCGAAAACAGCACGTAAACGCGGCTCAAAAAGGAAATCGATCTGTAAGTTCTTCAACAGAACGTTGTCACCTTTCTTGAACAACAATCGTACCTAACCATCGTACTTCTGCTCTACGCCTTCGAAGTTGTGCCACCATGGAGGACGGAATTAAAGAGCTTCTGAATGACTTCAAGTACCGGTTTTCCACACGTTTACACATTTGACTTGCCGTTTTTAAGGTGCTGGAGAGCCATTCTAATCTTACTCAGGCTGACGTCCGGGTTATCATCGGTATGGTGTCGAATAAGACTTGTTCTTGGATCGTTCTCTCTCACATTTGCGTGTAGCTCCATTGATGACGCGTACAACTGCCTATAGCACCTCTCAATCTCACTCAAAATCTCAGGTGTCCCGGAAACGATGCTGCCAAACTCGTTCTTCAGCTTCGACAAATGGCTCTTTCTGATGGACAGATATCTGGCAAAGACTTTGGAGCCCTGGTTCCGCTCAATCGCTTCTTCAATACGAGCTGTATTGAAGATGCGTAAGTCCCGCCTGCCGTATGTATTTTGAGATGTGTCTGTTCAGTTGCCTGCATGCTGTCAAATCTACTGAAGACTGCAGCTTCATTTCCCGTCTAGCAGCCATGAGATTAATAGTATGATCGGAGAGTTTTTGTGTTCTTCTGCGGTGGGTCTTGCAGCACATAGTTCATACATCATGGACAGCTTCCACGAGCTTGTCATTCATATCGTCCACTGTATTGCAGCCTTCTAGGCACTAAAAATGATTTTCTAACTCGAGCTGAAATTTTTCGGGACTTTCGATTAGATCACGTGGGGGATGAAGCGTTGATTTTATTAGACGTGACCTCTCTAACTTAAGGTTTAGGTTCAGTGTGCTTCTCACCATTCGGTAATTGCTGCCAGTTTTCACTCTCGCAATCACTGAGACATAATTGAACAGGTGTCTGGTTGTCATAATGAAGTCAATCTCATTTTTTGTCGAACCGTCTGGGCTCGACCAGGTCCACTTCCTGTAGGGCCGGTTCTGAAGGAAAGTGTTCATCATAAAGAGTCCGTCTTTCTACATGAAGTCAGCCAACTGCTGGCCCCTTGGACTTGGGTGTCCTATTCCACATTTTCCTACCTTCAGCTCACCGTTTTCTCTTGGGCCTAGGTTTTGCGTTGAAGTCTCCCATAAACACCGTATAGTGGGTTGTAGAGGAATGTATGGCTCTAGAGATATCCTCATACATTTCCTCCACCACCTCATCGGGATGTGCCGAGGTTGATGCGTAAACCTGTATGACCTTCAGCGAATACCGTCTGGTGATTCTGAGTATTTAGACGCAACCCTCGTCGACACACTCCCGATATTTACAACGTTTTTGACGAGAGACTTTTGGACGATAAATCCGAAACCTTCTTGAGACAGACACTACCGGTGATAGAATAAGTTGCCGGATTCGAGGATTATCGTGGCCTCTCCCTCTCTTCAGACCTCGGATAATCTTATAGTATGCCAGCGCAACTTGTCTACCTCTTCTTCCGGCTCCAAAATCTTCTCGTTATATGTCGCCAGGTTGAGTCGTCTTAGGTGACAGTCGAACCTCAACCGGAGATTCTTAACATCCCCTGACCCGCCGTCACCATGGTCGCCACTGTAGGAATAGCGGGGCCGCCGGGAATTGGGGCCGTTTTTTGTGTCGTTGTTCGTTATCTCACATGTTTGACATAGTTGCCACGCTTGGCGATCGGGTTGGCAACCGCAGTTTTTGTTGCATATTTGCTGTTATCAGGAAGATGCTGCTGCCCATCTCCTGCCTGTCTCCCTCTGTCGCCTCTTACGACACCCACGGGAAGATAAGGGGTGGTAGATATTATCAACCGCTACCACACGACATCACTTACATACACGTATTTGTAGCATAATGATCGTATTAGAACAAAAATACACATAGCTCGGTTCTGCATTGTTTCATCTAACATCCAACTGGACCATAAAAAATTAACGTCTTCTCTCTGCTTCTCCTATAGTTAGAAAACTATCC